AATACATAAGGGAAATTGTCAAAGCTTCAAGGCAAATAATTTAATTTTAGTTAAGTTGCGGGTTCTTAAAAAATACTGAAAATTCAGGCTGTCTAGCGAACTTTAAGAAATTTAATAATCGTTTAGGCAGTTTAAATACCACCAGGAAAGTCTAGACAATTGAAGAAGTGCCGATAACTTAAGGGAAGTTTCATGAACTTCAAAAAAAATCTTGAGAACTCCAATGAAAATCATAGAACTATATTAATTATTTCGGTCCAATTCCATCAAAATTGCAGTAGCACAAAAGTTGCAGAAATTTAGAGAAACTTCGAAAACTTCACAGAAGAACGGTGGTCTTCACAAACATTTCTACACCTTCATAGAAATGTATACAGGGTGCGTGACGAATTTTTGCAGTAAATGACATATTTGAGAAAAATTACACCAGTTAGCTATTCTAGCAATGAATGTTATGTGATTTATTTTCTTTCGCAAAATATGGAAGTTGTAACTAATTTTATTCAAAAAAAAAATCGTTTTCCCTTTCGACGACTGTAGCTAGACGCTTCCGGAAACTGCCATATGCACGTTTTACAATGTTTTAATCCATAGATGTCATCACTAACTTGATTTTAGCTTGTAGGGACTTAAGTGTGGTGTTAGGGGTTCAATTGGTATTCCGTTCGACGATGCCCCGTACAAAATAATCCAACGGATTGATATCGGGACTGCTTGGGGGCCAAATTTCTTTCTCCCAAAATTCCGAAATATTTTCCGCTGTTTTATTAGCAGTATGAGCAGGTTCTCCGTTTTATCACTTTCCCAGGCCTTTTTTATATTATACACTGTTCTTTCAGACACATTTATCCACCGAATTATTTCTATTACGCTTACTCCGGCGCGCAACAAAGCGACAGCGGCTGACCGATTGCTCTTTTGTTTCGACATCTTTACGTTTACTCAACACTGTTTGTTTACATCTTACATCTAACAGTATGAGCAATTCAGTGCTGCCAAATATATCTAAATCATGATCCGCAAGCATGAGAAATTACTATTTGAAATTTACTGCAAAAATTCGTCACGCACCCTGTAGAGTTTAAGGAGAGATCCTCGAACTTCAGGAATTTTTATGAACATTGGGGAGGCCAGTTCCTTTAGTTTCAGATAATAAGGGGGAAGTTTAAAGCAGTTCCCAGATTTTCGGATAACTTCAGAGACGTTAAAAAGTTAATTGAGGTCTTCGCATACGTTCAGAAGCTCTCTGAAGCTTAAAATTTTTTAGGGCAGTTCAATTAAATTCAGCGCATTACTACAAGGTTCATGAGAACTGCTAAAACGTTAGAGAAATTTTGAGAATTTCAGAAAAGAACAAAGAACCTTAGAGCAGTTCCGTTAACATTAGAGAAGTCACATACATTTTAAAGAAGTTTAGAGAACTTCAACGAATTGTTAAACGTTCAGAGGAGATCCATGATCGTTAGAAACATTGAGGAAACTTCAGGAAGTCCTAAAAAGTTCAGGGAAGTTTAAGAATTTGATGAAAAGTATTGTGAGCATTCGGCTAGTTTATCAAACTACAAGAGAGCTTCAAAGCAGTTTCAATAACTTCAGGAAAAATTTGAAAACTTTCAAGTATTTCTGAAGACCTCAGATTAGTCCATTTTGATTATCATTGAAATATTCCTCAACATTTCAATAAAGCTATCCTCTGAATTCAATTTTCTTTTCGTTTTCCTCGGAATTATCTTGAAATTCTCCACAATAAGAAACCCTTTGGAAAAATTCTCCGAATATTCATTGAATTCATTTCAGACTTCCTTTTGAATCTCACTCCTTCCCTTGGAATTCTACTCAAACTGAAAGTCTACTAAGAATTCATGGGCATTTCTTCTCACAAATTCCTTAGATTTCTTCTCATAATTTGTTTGGCGAATGCTCCTGAATGTATTTTCCGAATTCCTTTGAAGATGTTCTGGAGTTATTCACAGATTTAATTGTAAACCTCCTTTTAGGTTTTTTTTTCGTTTTCTCCCACAAACACAAAATTATCCTCAGAAGGCCTTTGGAACTTTGCTCTGAAAAAGTTGTGCTCCTCGAATTTTTTTAGAGTTTTCATTAAAATTGGCTTTCAATTCAATTCAGGGCTTCTTGAAATGCTACTCAAAACTATCAGGCTTCACAAGAAATCTAAAATTCATCAGAACTACCTTAAGCAGATTGCATTTGATGTTTTTTTCTGAAAGATTTTTCCCCCTGAACTTCCTTGAAATGAGATCCTTAGAAATTATAATAAAATTCCACGAGCTTTTAAAACTGTGCATGGATTTTGACTCCAGATTCTTGAAAATGTCTTGAAGTATTATAGCTGTTAAGTCCAGAACTAGTTCAAAATAAAAATTTCTAGGAAATATGCATGTTCCAAAAAAAAAACATTTCAAGCCTCTGTTTTTTTTCATTTATTTGTTACTGAAGATTAGTCCACTGTGGATCTATAAAGTTCAAAGTGTGAATGAAAATAACGAGAAAAATTCAATGCTTGTGTTATAAAATTCATTATTTTCTTTAAAATATCCTTAGTTAGAAAATTATTGATTTCTCTGTGCCTTCCAGGTATTTTTAGGATTTAAAATAAAATTTTCGTGAGGATTCCTGCTTTTCCAGGTTTTTGCAGTTAGCAGACACCCTGACCGTGGGTTTGGCCATAAACTTTCTATTGAATCTTTCGCTTTGAAGGTTCATATCGTACATAAGTGTTTATGAGATTCTTATTGAATAAGTTTTAAACATCAAACATTTATTTTCTCTTAGGTCACTTTTTAGTCACTACTTTTACCACTATAAGTCACTATTTGGTCACTTATTTCTTCAACATGGTCACTAAAATCACTATATTTGACAGCAGTGATCGCTACCAGCCCTGCGATAGTATATCCCTTATCGATTTGTGAAGAGTGTACTGCATTTACTATATGATTTCCAGTCATTCTAATTATGGGTACACTACAGGAAAAAATCGATTAGATCCAGAAAAAAAACCTAATGTGCTTAACAGTTGATGAAATCATTAGGAGCGCAGTTCCATTCCATATTCCAATCGATTAAAGAGGAAATTAAAAATTTAGGCCTAGCGGCTTCACAGTGCTCTCTTGTGTTCTTTTTTCCAAGGTCCATCGAAGCACACGGTGCCTCTAGTAGGATAACATTATTATAAAATAAATCAGTATCGCTGAAACACCCACCAAACGCAATCTTAGGTACCGTAAAACGGGGTAACATTGATAGTTTTTCAAAAAATATTCTAAATATTTTTACAGCAATGCATGTTTTTCAAATTTTATTTTTTTTTTAAATCAAGTACTGAGGATCCTGTTTAACGGAAATTAAAGCATTTGCACTATGAAGTAATTAAATTGGGTTGTTAGCTGAATGCTTAAATAAAACAGCAAAAAAAGGTTCCATTTATTTCCACTTAATTAATTTTGGTATCCATGACAGATACGTATTTCGACTACAATGTGCAGTCTTCATCAGTGTCATTCCCACTAAAGAACTTATCAAAATCTAACCCACTTAAGTACTCATCACCTAGGTAAAAAAGTCAAGCATTATCAAAGATACCCCGTTTTACGGTACCCCTCTTTCGTTTGAAGCTTGTTTCGAAATGTTCTGTTGGGGGTCATTTTTCCATACATTGTTTGGGCTTCAGAGTCGAGAGACGTGATTTATACTTGAAAATCCCTAAAAAATAAAAATTGTTCTAAACCCATCGATTGAACATTTCCATACTATTCTCATATGAAAAGGGTCACCCTAAGCTTTCGTTTGATGGGTGTTTTAGCGAATCTGATTTTTTTACCTTATTACGTTGTTTTTTTTTTTCTTTTTATTTCTTTTACTATTGTATCACTTTCATTTTCACTGATTCACTTTCGCTACTTACTTTCACTATCATTTTTTTATATAACAGATACGTATTTCTTTTACTACTTGCAAACTTCTTCATTGAGGAGACGAACCAGTGCTTCAGCCCTGGTCTCCTTAATAAAGATATAAAAAAAAAAAACTTCTTCATTACTAGACACTGAAGAAGTTTGCAAGTAGTAAACGAAATACGTATCTGTTGTATTAAAAAATGTTATAGTGATAGTAAATAGCGAAAGTTAAATAATTAGTGAAAGTCAAAGAGAGACCACAGACAAACAGATGTAAATCTTCATGGTGTATCTTCGTTCACGCATTTAACGGTTGATTTGAATATTATCAGTTCCGTGAACTACTCGCCGCAGCGCTGGCATCGGATCACTTTGACGTTTCTATACATTTTATAGAACTTTGCGAGTTTGCGAGTTAGCGAGCAAGCTTGTTTTCCGCGAGAAGCCTATGTTTGGAGATACTATGTTTTCAAGAAAAACTTTTTCAAAGAGATACGTCTGTTTGTCTGTGGTGATACTACCAAGTATGCTTGTAGTAGAATTAAAAGGAAAAACAACGCAATGAGGTATACAATTATTCTACTAAAACGCTAATCAATCAGTTTAGACTGTTTTTTTTTAATAAGTTTTTCTTCCAGAGGCACCGCGAGCACAATCATTTGCATTGATCGAAACTATATTTACCGGCTGTGAACGAAACATTTGCTAAATGGATATTAGTTATACATATATGACCTTTTCTTCCCCATCATCATGCAAACGCTTGAACCTCATCAGTCATGGGTTAAGGTTCTAGCATTCCATACGTCTTTTCCGTTTCCTTCGTTCCGTTCTGGCCGTTCCGAGCGATCCGACCGATTGATGGAAGTTTTTAATTTCCGCTTAGTCTTGCTAGCAGTGCATCGGCTAAACGAAATGAACAAGTACTGCGTGATACGGATCTTGGTCGAGCAGGTTCACAAATGTAACTGTCCGATAATTGCGAAACAATGTTTTCCCATGCATTAATACTGCTAATTTGTTTATGTTTACTCGTACCTACTAACCTTCCGCGTTTCCTTCATTTTTTTTTTCTTCTTCTAGATGACGACGATGCCACGACGTCCGGAGTAACGTTGGACGATACTGATAAGCGTGTGATACTGTTGAATCAAGCTCAACGACAAAAGTACTGCAACAATCATATCTCGACGGCAAAGTATAGGTAAGTGTATTCAGGTACCGGCGGCGGTGTAAATCATTTAGCATCAGAAACGAAGCGATATTCACTGTTTGCTTGCCTTAGTGCAACTGTGCCGCAACTGTGCAGTACAACTGTGCAAATGTTAATTAGTCTTGCTGTCAAAGTTAGCAGGAACCCCCTAACTTTCGTCTGACGCCAAAATGTGTTGTCAACCATGGAGATAAGCATCAATCTTCTAAGGAAAGTCTGGATAATGAGGCAGTGCCGTATTAACGGTAGGTCGATGGTGGGCTAAAGGCGGGGCCCCCAATTTTGAGGAGACCCCCAACTCACAGACATCAATCATAATGTATGTGAATGAAGTTGATTTGGAGAAACGTTTTAATGCTGCCATGGCACCTAAACGCAAAAGAAAAGAGCAATCTCTTGATCCCCCTTCTGTTGAAATTTATTTGAGCAATAAATTTGATATGCTCCCGGACGATGAGAATGATCCATCATCAAGGCGAAATTCCACTAAACTATCCCGGCTTAATGCCAAGAAGGAAAAGGTCCCCATAGGGGGTATGAAGAGAAGTAGGTTGTGCGTGCGTACAGATGTGAAGCTTGTTTTCTTTTCGTATTTGAAAATTTGGAAAAATTTAAAATAAACAATTTATGTGTAATAGCTTGCCTCGTACCTAATTGGAGCACATTTTCCGCGGTTCGAAAGTCCAGTGATGACCTGTGTTATATTTATACTTGGGTGCTGATCCGGTAAACAACTACCATAGATGGACCTGGATTCGAGAGATTCAAGATGTTATTTTCACGAGCAGCTCAATTCCTGGCGCAAATGGCCAATCATCAGCAACGGAAGATCTTCCATTCGGAACTCCACGCGGGCACGTACATCTACGGTCTGCAGGACCTACAATATCCCCCAGCTTATTCCTGGAGCCGCTGTCAAGCCACCAAACCCCCAACGTCCCATCGTTCAGTGCGATCATGTTGCCGAGGTAGGACTTTCAAGTTCCAGAGAGAAGCTTACAGCTGATAAACGTCAAATGGAAATCGGGAATTTGGTTAACATTGGAGGCATTTGGTGAGATCCTTTCATTACACTGTATTTTATATACCTTTCATTACATTGCATATTACTGTTACATTCACTGAAGATTCACGAAATGCATCGCTGTTTAGATATACCATGCCAGCACCATATTTGACGCGTTCCTTATGATGACGCACTCGTTTAATTTGACAAGCTATTTTTTAAAACCTTGTAACACCATCATCCCCCTAGAGCACTGAAACTAATATTTGCAGAAGTAACATTTCAAAAATAATTATTTAAAATATTCGAACGTTATGGAGTGCTTCGATTTAGCAACTGCTTCGAATATGGTGCCTCCACGGTTTATTTGAACTCGATTCATTTCACAGAATCATCTTTGCGGCAAATGCAACGCAGCAGGCCTGACCGTTTTGATGTTTGTGTCATATCTCAGATATGCTGCAAACATCAATGTTGACAAAAAAAATGATTAATGATTAATGATTTTCCAGGATGCTTTCTCGTACTGGCTGCGATTGTATTGGATTATATTAGATTAGATTAGAAGGAAAAGGTCCCCCCTATTGTGATAACTACTTCCGATTTCCATGCTCTTCGCATCAGTGTTTGAAGTTTTCACTGTTCACTGAATAATTCACGTGTATTTCCGTTACCGTTGAACCCCCATGTGTCAGTAAACTAAACTGATTTTCTTGTATCGGCGAGACGACGAATCATGGCACATAAAGAAATAGAGCAAATAAATCTTGCTATTAAGATGAATTTGTCCCTACGCTTGCGGATGAACGACAGTACACGCTTTTTCAGGCATTCTTCGATGTTAACTTGGGATGTCATCGTCGAGGATGTGACGAATGGTTCCGTGTTCAGGCCACAACTGCAAATCGCTTGCCAAAGCCTTCTTCACGAACTTGTCGGCAAACACGAACTTGAATCTTCCCGGCACATTGACCGGGAAGCTGATTAAAATCGACTTTGACGTATGTTTCGTCATCGATCAAAGTGCAGCCCTCGTGTTTCGTCAAAACACGGTCGTACAAAAGCCTTGCACGCTTTTTGGCCACGGAATTCTGCTTCATGTGCCGGTTCGGATGTTTACTGGCTTTGTACGGCAAGAATGTTCCGCACCGTTTGAAAGTTGGCGTTGTATCTTCTGGCCACATTTCGGATCGAAAGACCGGGGGTTGGCTTTAACGCACCTAAACACCTTGCTGACGATCCCTGGTTCCAGGTTTTTCATAGGTCCGCTGATTCCTCTCCACACTCAGGGTCTCCTTGTAGGTTTTGAGTACTCGACAAACTGTCGTTTTCGGCATCTTGAGCACTTTAGCCAGCTTGGAACCGGACCACTCCGGATTTTCCAGGTGCTTGTGCACAATATTTCTTCTTCTTTCGAGTTCCACTTGACGTTATTTCTGAACGCGATTGACTAGTTTGATCAAACTTGCACCAGTTGTTCTCTATAGAAGTGTAAACAAACCATGTAATTATCTTTGTGACAGCTGGCATCATCATCCAGAATATTTACGTGAGCGAGTATTTGAACAAATGTGTATGTGTATTGCTTATTATTTTTATTAGAAACCACTGAGCTGTATTGGACTGATCTCGTGTCTTGTCATTGAGGTAAAAGTGCATGAAATTATATGGAACCGGCCATTTTTTAAATATTGAACATCACGAGAAACCTCAAGAAGGATCCAGAATAAGTTGATAATTTGAAAAAAAAATAATGTCCTGCTGACTTAATTTAACAATACAATAAGTTTGGGTAAAATTAAATGGAAGGGGTTAACAGTGAAGCTCGGGAATTCAGTTTTGGCAAAGCATTGATTGAACTCCACAATATCCGGGTTTCATGTGAGAGTAAGCTGCCAAAATAAAATAAATAGATGATTAATTTATTAACATTATTTTTCTACACTTAATTTTGTGTGACTACTTTTTGCTCGTTCCACAATTTACGTGTGCAATGTTTTTTTTTTCTTTAGTTTAGGTTTTATTGGTAAGTGTTCATTACCAGGGGGTGTAACAAGTACGCTTTTCATTTGTTCAATTATTTATTTTGTTAGTTATTTATTTATACAGAATTCATATTCATGCAATTTACTCACTTAATCAAATTGCATGAAGTTACGTTTTTTACAGTTAAATCGTAAATGTGTTCCCCGCCAAGGAATGTCCTCTTATGTAGAGTTACACTTGTCATACAACAAGCAATGAGTTCCCAATACGCTCAGCCAATTAATTTAATTTGACCCGAATACGCTATCTGTTCGTTAAAGTCCGGGGTATGAATCCGAACCGTGCTCTCTTATAAAAGAGTAACCGAAAATAGATTTGAGCAAGACAGTATATTGCCAATTCAGAGAAAAATTAGGTTAGAAGTTACGTGCGGTCAACTTTTTGTGTGTGCAAAGTGTGTAGAAAGGTAAGGTGAATAATGTCTTTTGTGTGGATATTTCACTTAAATGTGTCGAACAGCCGTTCGACGGCTTTCTGTGCAGATTGGAGATTGCCCCGCATCGCTTCTAGCGATACATGGCTTTGCTCGGCACACCGCACCCATGATAAAAGTTCGCACTCTCTTGACCCCACGCTTCAGCGTCAAGGTTCCCGGTTTGGGAAGAATCCGGAAGGGAGACAAAGTTAACCTATTCTCCGACAGAGCGTTGGCCAAATCCGCCAGCATCCACCACGTGAACTAACGTGCTTTCGTGCATAACTGACGATCCCCTCGTCGACATCTGCGCCACCGGCAATCGGCGCTAGTTTCAGTACCAATTCGAGGATTCGATTGGGAATTTCCGCACCATACCAGTACGGAGTGCAATGCGCAAGACCAACACCGTTGAATAGAAGTTGAATGAATAATTGGTACCGTGAGCAGCGTTGCCAGGTCATTTTCAGAAAAATCTGGACCAGGTAAAATAAAAAATCTGGAAAAATCTGCAATGCTCCAAAAAATTCTCTTTTTAACATAATGTTATTGAAATCAAAGTGATGTGCCAATCTCCCGTAAAAATAGGTCAGTATGATCATGTGGAATTAATTTAAAATACTAGAATGGTTATAAATTACATGTTTAAATAAATTATATAAAGCAAATAACTTGTTAGCATTGCTAAAATCATGTGCCCAAAAAGTTCAAATATCTATTACGCAGCATTTCAAAAATTGAGTTAAATGTGGGTAAAAACAGGAGAAAATATGGTTCGAATTGATTTTAAAACTGTAACTTTTTTTAAAAATAATGAGAAGCAAAGAATCAAGGGAATTTGATGGGATGGATTTTTTGAACTAATAGTCGATGTAGTCCTTACTATTTGATGCAGTACCAGAATTTAAAGACTTTATTAGTTCTAAATAATTTTACTATTACTCTGAGGTTGATCAGATTTACAGATTAATTCTTGACATCATACAACACACAACACCCAGCAGACTAGTAGGCAATTTTATTTTGAAGCAAAATTCACCGGGCTGAAGTGAGAATCAAAGCCTAAGCCATCGTGGAACTCACACACAGTTTACCTAAACTACGGGTAACTCCACTATTCGCATGACCATTATGCCAAAGAATAATTTTATTATATTACTAAAATGAAAGTCTGATAGTTTCATTTTTGAAGTCTCAGGATCTTGCAATGATTCTAAATTCCGGAATTTATATTTTTCCTGCGTCCCAGATCATTGGTTAGTTAGTTAGTTAGTTAGTCTGAATTTACTCCACTCTTCACAGGATATCTTCGCCTTTTTTTAATTCAATTTGAATCATCCTAGAATTCCATCATATTTCTTTTCTATATTCCCCTAAAATAATCTTGAAAATATCTTAACTTTTCCAGTAACATTCCTCTTGAAATCTCTTATAAATCACTCTCCAATTCCACACCTAATAATTGGACAATAATAATTCCCAAGAATTGGCTCAATTTTGTGTCCATAGAGAAATAAAATTCTT